AAACAGGGAACTGGAAGAATTGGAACCAGATGGATGGGAAAGTGGTTTTTAAGTTAGAATTCAGGGTTGGTGGAATTCTTGTTTGTAGAGCACTTGCCAAGTATGTATGAAGTGCTGGGTTCAATCCCCAGCACTGGGAGTGGAGGAAAATCAAGCAACAGTAGTCCTGTCCCCTTCCCCCAATCCCCAGAGAAGCAGCCTCAGCTTCACTGCCCTCAGGAGGAAGAGGAGGATGGTAGCACAGAAGCCTTCCCTAATCCCTTACAATTCTAAGTATGTTTTCATATAGTTTTATTCTTGTCTCCTCACAGCAAACTTGTGATTTTTAGATAAGGAAACTGAGGTCTAGAGAGAATTAAATTGGCTTGCCCCAAATCACACAGCTACCTGGAAAAGGATTCTGGTTTTCATAACACAAATGAAAAAATCACCTTCCTATTTTTAGGCTTTTTATTCCTCGTTTTATTTTATAATGGGTCACCATGACTAGATGCAAAATTAATGGCACTAGGGTTGACTTCTCTTAATCCTTAGCAGTGTCATTACTTTTCCACTATGTTTTTAGTTATCTGATTTCTGTTTTTAACAATGGAATATCGAAGAAGCAAAAGCAAAAAAATTTTTTTAATATTTTCTTAGATGTTGATGGACTTTAATTTTATTCATTTTTATTTATTTATACACAGTGCTGAGAATCGAACCCCGTGCCTCAGACATGCTAGGCAAGAGCTCTACCACTAAGCCTCAAAAGCAAAATATTTTGTTTCACTTAAGAGTTTAAAACTAGACCAGCCAAACAGATTTGTCAGGGAATTCATGTTGGAATAAATCAGAAATAATAACCATCACCAAGGGATATAGAAATCAAGTCATTCCCTGAGCAAGAAGAAGACAGAGATGGCAGCCTCTAAGTAAGATTCAGTTACAGCAAGCCTCCAAAGTGCACTCTGAGCATGAAATCTCTTCCTAATTATGCCTCTGATGCACATGCTATGCCACCTGTACAGTGCCTCTGTATTTCTTATTCCTTGATGATCAGTTTCTTGACGGCAAAGCTGCAGGCTCTATGGTTTCCTTCTGCCCTGAAACATTCTTCCTAATCCCCTAAACTCTGTAATGTCTGTATCATCACCTCCACTTGCTAGGGCTGCCCTTGATGTTCACCTTTAATAGAGTTTGCTTGCATAAAACTGTTAAAAAGGAGAAGAAAAGTTTCATTGCTCTAATTTCTATCAAGCTCTTCATGCCTAGGAATGGCCTTTTCCTAATCCCTGCCATGTTTTTATAGGGACATTTTTCCCAGCTATGGGACACCTTGATTGCCCACGGGAGAGAGTTATTATATAAAGTAAGATGAGAGAACAAAGATTTAGTTTCTGGCATGAATCTTTAACCTGTTGAACGAGATGCCTTTGCATTCACCTAGCAAATAAATAACTGGCCTCCATCAGGGAAACCTCTGATAGATGAGCTCCTTCCAACAGGAAACCCTCCCCACGACAGTGCTTGCTATATGGGTTGTACTTCCCTGTACATATTGAATTCTGCTGGTAAGAAGTTAGTATACATGATTTGAGATTGTTGCCTAATCAGCATTTAGGCCAGAAAAAAATCAAAAGGAAGAGTGAACACTCTTAAGAAAGAAGGTATCAGATATGCCAGTTAAATCAGGAATCAGACGAGCACGGTGGCACACGCCTGTAATCCCAGTGACTCAGGAAGCTGAGGCAGGAGGATTGCATGTTCAGAACCAGCCTCAGCAACTTAGCAAGGCACCTAGCAACAAGACTTTGTCTCTAAATAAAATATAAAAAAGGCTAGGGATTTGGCTCTGTGGCCGAGCGTCCCTGAGTTCAATGCCCAGTACCCTGAGGGAAAAAAAAAAAAAGTCAGGAATCAAGAAACTGTAGCCCACAGAGCAAATCCTACCTACCTGCCTAGTTTTGTAAAGAAAGCTTGATTAGAACACAGCCACACCCATTTGTCTCCGATTGTCTTTTGGCTACTTTCACACTATAACAGAGAGTTGAATACTTACAAAAGAAATCATGTGGCCCATAACACCTGGCCCTTCATTAAAGGAGTTTCCAACCCCCTGGTCTAGCTGATCCCAAAGTTTGCTCAGACCATTTTATCCACATTCCCTGGATCTTTTTCTTGGTGGGGGTTGCGGGGGGGAGGTGGTACCAGGGATTAGACTCAGGGGCACTCAACAATTGAGCCACACCCCCAGCCCTATTTTGTATTTTATTTAGAGACAGGATCTCACTGAGTTGCTTAGTGCCTTGCTTGTGCTAAAGCCGAAATTGAATTTAGGATCCTTCTGTCTCAGCCTCCTCAAGTGGCTGGGATTATAGGTGTGCACCACAATATCTGACTCCCTAGGATCTTAACCTAAGTAAATCCCCATGTTTCTTGATAGCTCCAAAATGAAACAGTTTTCTGTAAAGGAACATATTCACCAGGAAATCTTAGGGCTGCCTGCAGAACAGAAAACTAGAAGTACCGTGAAGAGGTAGCAAGCCTAGGGCCTGGGGAACCAGGCAGGTAACAGGAGCTGTATAGGCCAAGTAGGGCTGAGTGAACTTGAGAACTTGTGCCTACTTTGGGGGCCATCACCTCTTAGTTCCTGCCTTGTAGGAGTGTGATCCCAGTGTCACCAGAATCTCTGGATTTTCAGGACCTCCTGGAAATCTGTTTTGGGTAATCTTTTAATATTTAAATATGATTGCTGATTAAATTTAAAATAAGGGACTGAGGGGCTCAGTGATGGGGCATGTGCTTAGCATACACAAGCCCTGAGTTCAATCCCCAGCACCAGGTTTAAAATTTTTTTTTTAAATAGCAAGGCAATCACACACAAACCTACACGTGGAAGTTTGCAGCAGCTTTATTCATATTTGCCAAAACCTGGATGCTAACAAGATATCCTTCAGCAGGTAAAGGAGGAATAAAATGTGGTCCATCCAGACAACTGAATATTATTTAGCTCTAAAAAGGAATGCGCATAAGCCACATAAAGATACAGAGGGACCTCAGATGCATATCACTAAATGAAAGAAGCCTGTCTGAAAAGGCACTGTGTGATTCTGACAATATGACATTTTAGAAAAGTCAAAACTCCAGAGACAGTGAAAAGATCACTGGTTGCCAGGGGCTGAGAGAGGGAGGGATGAATAGACAGAGACCAGAGGATTTTTAGGGGAATGATACTTACCCTATCCTTTATGATACTGTAATGGTGGGTATCTGTCATTATATCCTCATCCAAATCTACAGGATACTCAAAGAGTGTGTATAACACAAAAAAATGAACCCCATGTAAACTGTGGAGTTTGAGAGATCATGATGTTTTGGTGTAGGTTCATCAGTTTTAACAAAGATGCCACTCTGGTACAGAATGTTGATGACAAGGGATGCAGGACCGGGCGATGGGAGGGACAGCAGGTACATGGGAACTTTCTGTACTTAACACTTACTTTTGCTAATAACCTAAAATTGCCATTAAAAATAAAGTATATCTTAAAAAATAGTAGGACCAACAAGATGCATCTAAGTGTCAGATTCAACCCTCACCCACCAGTTTATAATTTCTGCTAAGGACTCAACTTAGAAGTCAGGCCAAAATCCAGCCAAGGTGGCAGTCAGAGAAGTGGCTGTATATCAGAGTGGCATGACAGAGGATGCCAGAGCATCTTGATGGTACATCCATCACAGCACCAGGAAGCCAGAACTGGCAATAGAAATGTGAATGGGAAGTAGCTGATGTCACAGGCCTTGCAGTGTCTTCTGGGCTTGAGCCTAGACCTAAAGGCCTGGCCTCTAGGGATGGTTGACTAGGCAGATGAGCTACGGAACTAACCAGATGATTAGGATTCACACTCATTCTGACAGAGAGACCCAGTGACCAAAGTGGGCCACAAAGCAGTAGGTTGGTCTGAGGATCCCGACAGAAGCACAACCACTCGAGTTATGGTTTAGGGTCAGAGCAAGCAGACTAGCCCTCTAGACTAGTCAGGACTTTTCGGACAATACAATAAACAACCAATTCAAAATAACTTAAGAAAAAAAAACTATAAAGGAGTGAAATGGCTTCTATAACTGAAATGCCCCGTGGCAGAGCTGGCTTAGGGCAGCTTAGACACCCATTAGTCTATTAGGAGTTTGTATCTTCCCGTGTCTTCACCCTTCCCCTGTCTGCTATGTGTCTTGTTTCCACGTAGGCTGGCTGCACATGGTGCGCCAGGGGCTCCAGGATTATGGTGTCTCATAGTTAGCATTCCCATTGGAGGAAGACTTGTCTTCCCTCAAGGTCTCCATAAAATCCCCAGGATTGACTCTTAGTGAACTAATTTGGGTCATACACCCACTCAGAGTAGTAGTACTTACTTTTTTAATCAGGCCTGGGACCCTTGGACAACCTTCTTAGATTGTCTATGAATGAAAAAGAAATAGAGGTGTAAAGAAAAAAATCAAAGGGCCATTAATAGAGAGATGGTAAGTAGCATGTAGAAATAATAGTATTCCACTATACCAAGTTACCCAGTTTAGCAAGAGCTATTAAAATTCCCTTCTCTTTGTCTCCCATGTCAAGGTCAGAGAAAAGATAGAGAGATTCTAGAATATCAGGCAAGTCATTTCAAAGATGCCCTCATTTATAGTGAACTCTCATAAATATTGAAGATTGATGATGGAGGATGGCTCTGTCTCAATGGGAATTGTCAGATGAACAGATCAAAAGGAGAAGGAAGCTCTAGAACTTGTGATTCACTTTAAATATGTCACATTTTAGGTGGGATATAAGTGAAACATTAATACAGTATATAACAATTCTTTGGGCTGAAATCAAGTCTCCCATCTTAAATTAAGAAGATTAATTAGTTAATGTTTATAAAGTACTGTGGAGATATGCCCTTTTAAAATGCTAAGTGTTCTAAAAACTACACTATAGCATTTTACTAAATGTAAAAGATCTAACGTTCACCATTTCTTTGGCACAGGTTGGCAAGGATTCTTTTGGCAATGATTATATAGAAAACTTTAAACAGAATGGTATTTCTACAGGTAAATTTTCATCTTTTTTAAAAGTGAATGTTTATAAGTTTCTTCTGTGATCTTGTTTCAATAAAATTGAACATGGAATAGAATTATTACATCCTCCTCTGGTGGCCATAGAATTTGTATGCACAGCTTTGTCTGGTCTTATTTAAATGTCTCCTGGTTCTTTAACATACATTCCTCCAGATAGGAATCAGGTGAGAGGAGGTTATGAACCTTCATCTCATGGACAAATGACAAGGAAAACCAAGTGATAAGTTCACAAAAGATATTTTAAGAAAAGTGTTATTGTTAAAGCTGAAACCGATCACAGATATCATCAAGGCTGAACCCATGATCACAGAAGGGAAAATGGAAGGTCAGAAAGGTTTTTATATGTTCGACCTTTTGGTTTTTTATCTCAAGTCTCTCGTTTTTTCAGTGAAGAAAAGAAATGTGTTGATCTAGAAAATGCATATGTATACAATTATGAATAATTTGGGGAACTGGAAGTGGGACTGGTTTGATAGGTTGTTATTAATGTACAGAAAAGGTGCTGCTAAATGTAAAGATGTCTATTTTCCTCATTGTATAGGTGATGGGTATAAATTAGCACTAATTACTTATTTTTTAACTCATTCCAGATGGTTAAAGGTTAAAAAGGTTTTTTTTTGAGGATTAGTGTTGCATTGAAATTGTTAAAATAAGTTATCCATGCCAGGCTGTATGTACGTGATTGTAATTTTCTTTTTCTTTTCTTGTAGAATTTACATATCAGACTAAAGATGCTGCTACAGGAGCTGCTTCTATAATTGTCAATGATGAAGGTATGTGTTTCGCATATTAGAGCGTCATTTCCTAAAACGGATAGTTCATCTCCAGAGCTAGATTGGAAGCACCAACTGCTTCCAGTCCTACGGACCTCTTACCCACCCACCATTTCGCGGCCAAATGTGAATTTTCCAATCCAAATATGTTTTCCTTTTTTATACTCCCCATATTGATTGCTTAAATATGTCATTACTCATCTGACACATACGAAGCATTATAATTCCCCCAAATATTTGTATTCCGTTATGTTCCCATCATCCTTCATGTGAACTCAGAATTGACATTTGTCTCTAAAAGCAGTCAAGTATTCATCTGTTATTTCCATTACACTCGGTAAGTAAATGTAAATAGGTGCAAAAGAAAGTTTGCTGGATCATATTTATAGAATCTTCACTGAGTAAATGGCAGCAACTAATCACTTCTAACTTATCGTTAGTGTTCAATTTTGTCTGCTCTTTAAACAGCAATCAAATTTCAAAAGTCTATACAACTAAGTGCACCTCAAGGCTTTACCACAATTAAAACATTAATCTTTAAAAACAGTGACTTCCAAAAAAAAAGTGATTGCCTTCAAGTTAGGTTTTCATAATTTCTGCCAACTGTTTTAAGTATAAAAACACCTACACAGATTTTTTTAAAAGACCAAGCATTTTCATGGGCACCTAGGACAGACCTAGTTAGACATTATAGGCAGTCAGTGTATTTTGTGTTAGATTACAATTTATCAAGATATTTCTTTTGTTTGCACAGCACCCCATTTATCTGTGGAGGAATACATTTCAAGACACCCAGTGGATTCCTGAAACTGTGGGTAGTACTGAGCCCGATATAGACCATGTTTTTTTCTTATACATATATGCCAATGATAAAATTTATTTTATAAATTAGGACCAGCAAGAGATGAACAATAATAACTAATAATAACAAAAATTTTACAATTTTTTATGATAAAATTGATATGAATGTAGTCTCTCTATTTCAAAATCTTATGTGCTATATTCACTCCTTGGGTGATGATTTGGATGACACAGTGCCTGCGTGATAAGACAAAGTGAGATGAATGACGTAGGCATCGTAGCTTTAGGCTACTGTGTAAAGGTTATTTGACCACTGCAAGGTCTCAACAATTGATAGGAAAATCAAACGCTACTCTGGTGGGTAGTATGTATGGACAAGATACTGGACAAAGGGATGATCCACATTCCAGATGGGCTGGAGCTCAGTGAAATGGGGTTTCATTATGCTACTCAGAATAACATGCAATTTAAAACCTACGAATTTTTTTTTATCCCACTTGATTCAAAATGTGAAATATGATATGTCAAGAACTATGTAATGTTTTGAACAACCAACAATAAAAATTTAAAACAATATAAAATAAAATAAAACCTATGAAATGTTTATTTCTGGAATTTAGTATTTAATATATTTGGACCATATTTGACCACAGTAACTGAAACCATGCAAAGTAAAACCACAGAGAAAAGGGGACTAATGTGACGCAGTTTTACAATATCACTTTGCATAGAAGGTGTGGGATTTTTAACTCAAGTGATCCCTAAAGCTTCAATAATTTTTAAAATTCCATTTAAAGACAGTAGATCAAAGTTTTCACTCAAACAATAGAAAGTCTGTGTTCATTACTTTAAGCTACCTCTTAAGTAATTATTGCTGCCAACATCAGCTCATTCCTTGTCTTAAACCTTTTATTTTGTTCCAGGGATAGCTTCAAGTTTTCTTTTCTTTACCTGTGAAACAAAACCTGCATTTTCCATGCAGAGGTATAATTTCACATTATGTATCAGTGCCTATTATGGTAGACTTTGCCTGGTTCTTAGGGTGGCAGTGCCTTTAAGAGTAAGGATGGCAGAAGACCTAGGACAAATACAGAAATGGGACACTTGGTTCCTTTCGTCGAGAGATTGAGTACACAAGACAAAATCCTGAGTTGCATTTTGAAAGTTCAACTTGAGGGATGAAGGAGTGAGCCACAAAATAGACAGCTGTAGTCTTGAGCTTGTTGCTCAGTAGCTAAGGCCAGTCCAGAAATGCAGATTTGGAGGTCAGAACACAGAGGCTACAGTTGCCTCCAACAGAGAGAATTAGGCCAGTGCAGGAAGCAGAGATGCTGTCTTTCAGCAAGTGGGTACTTTGAATTTTTTCCAGGACCAAGGTTGGGTTTGTGCTAAACCATCCCCACTTTATTAAGTCCTCCTCCTCCTGGCCAACAAACACATCTGTGGTAAGATGATAGGCTAGAATTTGTTCTGTGCTGAGAGGTAATTTTAGGTCATGTCTATACAAGATCATCACGAGCAGCCTGGAGCATAAAAAAAAGCCTGCTGCAACTCATTCCCCTAGATCAGTGCCGTCCAACAGAAAGAAGATGCAGGCCACATGGGGATTTTAAATTGTCCAGGAGCCACATTTTAAAAAGTAAAACAAAACAGGTAAACTTAATCTTGACAGTTTACTTAGCCACGAACTCCAAAATATTACCATTTCAAAATGTATTCAAAAGTTTCATTTGAAATTTAAAACCTTTTTAATGTTTTAAAAGTTGAGATTTTTACCTCCTTTTCTCAGTACTGTCTGAAATCCACTGTGTGTATTTTATACTTAAAGCACAGTTTCAATTGAGACTAGCCACATTCCAAGTGTTTAATGGCCACATGTGCTACTGTAATTACTGTGTTGGAGAACACAGCTCTTAAGAGTTCACCTGAGAGAAATGCACCACCGCCCCTCCACCATGTTGGGGGATTATAGAGAGTGAGCCCAGGTGATGGGAATGTATCAATTCCTTGGTCCTGTCGCCTCAGTTTGTTCTGGTATAGCATAGGCTAGATAGTCTTTTATCTGGTATAATTTTCTGTCTGCTAGATAGAATAAAATGTGTTTGGATTGTCACAATGACTTCTTAGAATACCATTGGGTTCATACATCAACTATTTTTTCGTACAATAGAGCATTAGTTTTGAGCTTATACAAGTTTATTCCTATTTACACTCATCTATATGGCATCTGTCATTTATAATTCAGAATCTTTGTCATATACATTTATTAGCATTTCCCATTAAGTAAATTTTTAAGTATGTTTTATAAAATTTATTAACTAGCATTCTTTATACATAGGAATATTAATAAGGGAAACCTTTTAAAATTTTTGCTCAAAGTAATCAGAATAAGCCAGGCCTGGTAGCACACACCTGTAGTCCCTGCTACTCAGGAGGCCAAGGGAGGAGGATGGCTTAAGCTCCGGAGTTCAAGGCCAGTCTGGAAAACATAGCAAAACTGTGTCTCCTAAAAAAAGTAATCTGAATAAAATGAGTCTCAAGAGACATTCTAAAAGATACATTTGAAACGCAAAATTTAACCTGAATGTCCTGAAAATGTCAAAATTAATACTTACAATACATTTTGTATAATAACTTTATAAAGATGATTGTAACATTGCAGAATATCATTGCTTGGCTTTGCTTGGTTTTAATATAAATATGTAGGATTTCTTTATAGGCCAGAATATCATCGTCATAGTGGCAGGAGCAAATTTACTTCTGAATACTGAAGACCTGAAGGAAGCAGCCAGTGTCATTAGCCAAGCCAAAGTCATGATCTGCCAGCTAGAAATAACTCCAGCAACTTCTTTGGAAGCTCTGACAATGGCCCGTAGCAATGGAGGTAATTTTACATATTTGTCACTCTTTCTTTAAAAGCTTTTATCGCTGTCTTAATTAAAGTTAACCTTTTAAGTTAAGCAAAGCAATACTTTTTCTGTAGTAAAATATTCATTCCTCCATCTGTGAGATTCACTGTCTTGTAGTTCTTGATAACATTAGAAAGACTTACAAATAGGGCAGAAGCAACATGAGAAACATCTCCAACATCCCACAGTATAATCTGCAGGGAATAATTAATCTCTGAAGGAGCATTGGCTAAGGTACAACCTGAGGAGTGAGGAGCAGCGGTTAAACTGTCTGTCATGTCCAGTCACTACCCGGTTACACTTTAATAAACCTCAAAAGGAATCAAAGATTTTTTCTTTCTCCTTTTTGTAAAATACCATTTTCTCAATAAGCAACCAAAGATTATTTATATATAATGTTTTCTACGTTGTCAATGTGTATAAAGCAGCTGTTTTCTTTGATCTTTGATTCGGAAATGGTTAAACCTACCAAAACAGGCAAAGCACATAATGAAACCAGTCACCCAACAGTTATCAACCTGAGGTTAATTTTATTTCATCTTTTCTCCCACCCACTCCTCTTCCTCTGGCAAATAACAAACAGGTTTTTTATACTTCCTCCTCCCTTTTCTCCACTGCCTAGTGAGAAAAGCATCTTCTGAGATAGAATCCCATTTCTGTCCCTGTAAGCTTTGTGGTCTTAGCAGAATTTGCTGCTTTTTCTGAACTGGTCTGTAAAATGCACATGGAAATATGCCTACAGGATTATTCTAAGAATGGAATGAAATTAAATGTGATGCCAACCATGGGATGGTACAAGCCAACAAATCCCAGTTTTCTTCTCTCCATTCACTTCTCTCTTTATATTAAAAATTAAGATAATATCCTGATCTAGCACTATTTGGTCAAAAAAATCAAAATAAAAAGTAGCCAGTCTAAGACAGTGGCTTCAGTTTGATGTTGTGACATTATTTCTTTGATTTATAGTAAGAATAAAATAGAGATTCACATTGACTTTTCCAGATAAGACTTTCTCAGCAAGATAAAAAAACTAAAAGATGAAGAACTCTGTGTGTGTGTGTGTGTGTGTGTGTGTGTGGTGTTCTATATAGCAATAAATGGAAAATAAATCACTGAAATTATTTTGTGAAGAAAGTATATGTCCTGATTTAACAAATTTTCCTCTTGGCAAAACAATGTGCCGTGGCAAATTCTCACTGACATTTACTGTATTTTTAATGGACTGGAAGCTGTCAGAAAGAATTCTAAGCCAAAACCTGTTTGGTTGCATTTTCTGGAAGTGTCACAAATAAAGGCTAAAGCTCCTGGTAGGCATTCTGTGCACTGCGCTCCTCTCAGGAGATGTGAATCCAGTGTGCCCTTCACCCTGCTCCTGTCTCTGGGTAGATGAAAATATATTCTCAAGTAACTTCTCTTTCTTTTCCACTGTCCCATGTCTCTCACTGTTTCCTCTATCCTAGTTGAGTTCCTGTTGCCCACCCATCTTGTGGAGGAGAGGAAGGTACAGCCACAGTGAGCTTACCTCTCACAGGTGAGGCTAGAGTAACCCTCTTGGGCAGGCAGCCTAACCTCAGGCTGTCACTGGGTGGGATCCAGAAATGCTTCCTCTGTCACCTGCCATGCAGCTGTTCCATCTGAGGAGCTGGAAGTCCTGGGACATTAGGAAGAGGGATAGGTTAAAGTAGACTATGACCACCCAGCCTATTTCACACTTTGGCTAAGAGCCAATGTGCCTAAGTATTACACCTACATGATCTTTCCTGTATAATAGTCCCTTCTTAACTGGGGCAAATACATTCCAAGATTCGCAGTAAGATGTCTGAAACCTTAGGTAGTACCAAGCTCTATCATGTAATCTTTTCCATCCTAAGCACTCATCACATTTTATGACCAAACCTTTTGCAGTTTGAGAGACATAAAAGCAAAACCTGTGCTAATTTCTCTTCCCTTCTTCTCAGTTTTATGGATAGAAGATTCATTCTTGCTGTAGAGCTTAGTGATCTTAGCATAAAAATTTTTCTTTCCTTATTATCTCAAGAACTTTCACCTTTTCACCTAAAGGAACCACTTTATAAGTTCTATTTGGCAAATATCAAGTTACCTCATCACTACTCTTACACTTTAGAGCCATTATTAAGTAAAAATAAGGGTTCCTTGAACAGTATAATACCATGAGACCACAGCAGTTAATTTGATAACCAAGATGGCTCCTAAATGACTAACTTGCAGGTGATACAGTGTGGGGAGGCTGGACAGAGGGACGATTCACATTCCCAGTGGGGTGCAGTAGAATGACGTGAGATTTCATCACGACTCAAAATGGTATGCAATTTAAAATTTATGAATTGCTTATTTCTGGAATTTTCTATTTAGTATTTTTAGACCCTGATTGACCTTGAGTAAAACTGTGGACAGCAAAACCACACATGGCTGTGGGGGTGGGGGAGTGATTGTGTAATAATATTGGAAGTAGTAATACCTTGCATTTAAATGTACTTTATACCTTATAAGGTTCTTTCTTGCCCATTTGATCTTCAGAAAAACCTTATGACAGAAATTTGGCAGCCATTGTTCTCTCAGGAGACTCAGAGAGGCTTAGGAAGTTGTACAACCAACATCACACTTTTAGTACGTGTGGAAATATAATTTCAGACTATAAGACCCAAGTTCTATCTCCTAGACCACACTTTAAAAAGAAAGTGCCACATGCCATTGACTTTAAGGAACTAAGGCATTATGAAGAATTTTCTCTAGAAGAGTAAAATCCATACATTTTAACACTGTCCAGTGCACAGCCTAAGTGTGGAAAGTGTTTGCTACTTTTGTGAAGAGCGCAC